CACTCAAGTTCATCCTACACATAGCTGCTAACAAGATTTTCCTTAAATGAAGATCTGATTATCTTGCTCCCATATTCAAACTCCTGTGGTTCTCTATTGACTCTAGGATAAGATATAAACTACTTGGTTTAGCTTTTAAAGCCCTTCATAATCTGATCCACTCTACCTACTTTTCCAGCTTCATTGTATACTACTTCCCATCTTGTAGTTTCTGATGCAGCCAAACTGACCTCTACCTGTTCCTCCCACATGACACTCCACTTCTTTTCTCTGCCTTTGCACTGTCTATTCCCATTCCTAGAATTCACTGCATCCTCATCTCCACCTCATAGAGTCCATCTCTTCATTCAAGATGGAGTTCAGGCACCACCTCTGATATGAAACCTTTTCTGATCCTCCACTAGCAGCTGACATTGCCCTTCCTCTCAATCTGTTTTGTATTTATTAACTTTTATTTATTCTGTGTATATTTATATATGTACTTCTATTTTTCCCCATTACAATGTATACTTCTTCCAAGTAGGTATTGTTTCATTCTTTGTATTTCTATCGCCAGTGCCTAGTACTGTGCCAGGCACATAGTTAGTGCTTGATAAATATACCTACAATTAATAAATGTTGAGTGAGTGATTGATTGATTTGAATGAAATGTTCTTTATTTCCTTCTGTCCAGTCTGAGAAGTTTTTTGTTTTTGTTTTTGGTTTTTTTTGGTTTGGTGTTTGTTTTGGGTTTTTTTTTTGGAGTACGTGAGAGCTTAAGTGTATTTAAAATTTTTTTTAATTTTTTTAAATCTGGATTTAATAAAGAACCAAAAAAGAACATTTCCCTGTACAGAGTAGAACAGAAAAAGATTATTTGTGGAACTGAGAATCTCTCTTATGTATAGCATGCTTTGAAATATATACACAGTCAGTTTCCTTCTGAGCTTCCTTCTGTACATTTCCTTGCATTTAAAAAAATGCTTCAGTGAGCCCTTCTTTTCTTTTTCTGGCAGTACTATTACTAGCTTCCTTCTACACCCAAATACTCTTCCCCCCAACAAAGAAAGAAAAACACAATCCTTTTGGCAATTAGTAAGAAATACCACCACCCCACCCCAGCACCTCCCAATCTACACGTTTGCCATATCCAAAATTTATATCTCAGTCTATACCTTGAGTCCATAACCTCTCTATCAGGAGGTGGGTAGCTGGCTTCCTTGTCTCTCCTTTGTAGTCATGTTTAGTCATTACATTAGCCAAAGTTCTTAAAACTTCCAAAGTGTTTTCCCCCCCAATGGTTTTGTTATTTGCAAAGTCGTCTCCTGGTTTTGTTCACTTAAATCTGTATCAGTTCACCTAAATCTTCCCAAGTTTCTTGGAAACTGTCTATTTAGTAATTTTTCACAACTTAATATTCCATTACATTCATAAAACATAATTTATTTAGCCATTCCTCAATTGGTGGGCACTCTTTTTGTTTCCAGTGCTTTGCTACAACAAAAAAGAGCTTCTGTAAATATTTTTACAAACAGGGCTTACTAGGTGTAAGTCTAGTAGTGGTATTGCTGAGTTTATTTATATTTTTGAAGTAAAAATTTTGGCTTATGTAGAGGAAAGGAAATGTTCAATGCATTAAGTGATGAAAGATTGTTTCTGCCAGGCTGGCATGGGAAAGAATGAGGAGGCTATTCAGATTGATATGGGCAAATGGGCAGGTCAGAAGCTCGAAAGGCAGAATAGACTTATAGAGGACTTTGAAACTTATGGTTAGAGGATAGTATAGGCTATAAGGATATCTAGGGTATGCAGAGAAGAGGGAGTTACAGTGACCTAAGTGAAAGATAATCAGTCATTATGTGGAAAAGACCAGTGACAGTGGGCTTTGACAAAAAGGGACAAATATCACTGATAGTTGCATGATAAGAATTGATGAGATTTAATGACTCATTGAATATGCAGAGTAAAGGGATCCCCAAAAGGTGTCAGATCTTGAGGTTTCAGAAATAGATAATATATATTAATGAATAAAAAATTAATTTAATTAATAACTAATTTTTAAAAATGATAAATAGATATAATTTCCGGTATAGATGATGAATTCAGGCAAGGATAAAGTTAGAAGAGAAAACTTGCAATTCCATTTTTGCTATGTTGTGTTAGAAGAAATATTAGAACATTCATGTGAATATGGTATAGGGAATATTGTTCAAGTGGAAATGGATTATAGAAAAGCACTTTGCGGGAGAGTTTGTAGCATGTCATTGGTGATAAACTCTGACTGTTGGCAAGGAGATGAAGGCAAAAGATACATAGTATGTTTGGAGGTAGAAGGGACCTTAAGACTATCTAATCCAACTACTTCAGTATTAAACTGAAGCCCCCAAAAGTCAAGTAAACATAGCTTGTCCAGAGCTGACAGAGTTGGGGCTTAAATACAGGTCTCCTGGGATCTCAGTCCAGTGCTCTTTTCACTATACTAGGCTGCATCTAGTTATGGGTTGAATGACCAGAGATGGGAGAGCTCTAAGAGGCCATCTAGTTTAGCTCCTTTTTACAGATGAGGAACTAAGACCCAAAGAGGTAAAGTCAAAAAGGAAGTAGCAGGGATCAGAACAGAACCCGGATCCTTTGATTTCAAATCCAGCAGTCTTTCTATGTAGTGTGCTCAGATCCTTAGCTCTTTTTCATTCTTTGTCCACAGACTCTACCTCTAGTATTTTTAAAAAAATTTTAGTTCTGAATTCTTCCCACCTGTCCTTTCTCCGTCTGTTGAGAAAGCAAGAAAAACAAAACTTGTTACAAGTATGTATAGTCAAGGAAAACAAATTCCAGCATTAGCCATGTCCAAAAATAGTATGTTTTAGTCTGACCTCTGAGTGTGTTGCTCTCTGTTTAGAGGTAGGTAACATATCTTATCATGAGTCCTGTGGAATTTTGATTGGTTCCACTGTGTTGATCAGAGTTCAAGTTGTTTGTTTTTATAATTTTGTGTTATTGCATAAATTATTCTCCTGGTTTTGCTCACTTCAGTCTATATCAGTTCATACAAGTCTTCCCAGGTGTTTCTAAAACCATCCCCTTCATCATTTCTTACAGCACAATAGTGTACCGCTGTAACTTATTTAACCATTCCCCGGTTGGTAGGCACTCCCTCAGTTTTTAATTCTTTGCCACTATAAAAAGAGCTGCTAGAAATATTTTTTTAAAATGTGTGTGCCCTTTTCCTTTTTGAGCTCCTTGGGGTATAGACTTAGTAGTGGCATTATTGGGTCAAAGGGTATGTGCAGTTTAATAATTTTTTTGTCATACTTCCAAATTGCTTTCCAGAATAGCTGAACTAGTTCACAGCTTTACTAGTTGTACATTAAAGTACCTATTTTCCTACAGCCCTTCCAGCATTTGCCATTTTTCTTTTTTACCGACTTTGCTGCTCTAATAGGTGTTAGGTGTTAGTGTACGTTTCTTTACTGGTGATTACAGCATTTTTTCACGTATTGATAACTTGAATTTCTTTCTGTAAAAATTTGTCATCCTTTGACAATTAATTGGAGCATGGCTCTTATTCTTACACATTTGAGTCAAACATTTAGGGATATATCTTAGAAATAAATGAAACTTATTGAGAAACTGGCTGCAAAGATTTTCTCCAATTTCCTGATTTTGTTTCTGATCCTAGCTGCATTGGTTTTGTGCAGAAACTTTAGTTTTATGTAATCAGATTGTCCATTTTGCCTTTTGTGAGTTTTTCTGTCTCTCATTTAGTCATATGACTAGTAATTTCTTCCATGCTACTCTAATTTGTTTTTGATGTTGCCCTTTATGTCTAAATCATGTACCCATTAGGAGCTTTTCTTGGTATATGGTTTTAGAATGTTGGTCTCTGCCTAGTTTCTGCCTGAGTACTTTCTGGTTTCCCAAAAGATGTTGTTGACAGCAGATGATGATCAAAGATCTCAGCTGAGTTCTTGACCCAATAGCTGAGATCTTTGATCTACCCCTCAGCTTAACCAGCTAGCTGCCTCATAATTGTAGTCTGTTAATAGGCAATAGCACAGTGTAATGACCAGTGTTAGACCTGGAGCTAAGAGACCTAATTTCAAATTATAACACTGATTAGCTGCATGACCATGGGCAAGTCACTTCACCTCATTTTCTTCATCTGTAAAATGGAGTTAATAACCCATCTCATAGGGTGGTTGTGAGAAAAATCCTTTGTAAAACTTAAAACATTAACTATGTAAAAGTGTTATAGTAGTGGGGAATCCAGTGATAGAGAGGATTAATCAACCCACAGTCATTGCTCTTAGTGCAAAAACAATTCAAAATCCAGGTTCTGCCTGCCAGCTTTATCTTATATGAATTTCAGTAAATTACTCATTGATTAACTCAAAGAGTGAAGTTGAAGATTGAAAGAATGATAGGAGGTAAGATTCCCAAAGGAAGAAGTCTACAAAGAGAAAAGTAGGAGTCTTAGAACAGAGTCCTAGGACATTGTAAGGAAGAGAGATAGATAGTAGGAGAAAATGGTCAAGTCAGAGAGCATTTTTAGGGACAAGGAGTTGCCAAAACAAATGATAGAGGAAAATTATTAAAGAGGTGAGGGGTAAATCACCAGACATTGGTGTTTCAGAAACTGAGATTGAAGAATGAAATGGTTAATTCTGGTAATACTAATTTATGTATTGATTTTTTATTATAAAATACTTTATGTTATATCCCCATTGGACTTCACAATAGTGCTTTTGGAAACAGCAGTAGCTTCCTTTTCTAGTTAAGCTAACCAGGGCTTAAGAGAAGCAAAAGTACTTTTTCAAGGTTATGTAACTAGTCAGTGGTAAGAGAGGTAGAAGTGAATTATGTCAGAGACTTGCTAATGTGCACATGGACTATTTGCCTTTCTTATTATACATGGTTATAAAATGGAGATTGGCTCCCCATTTTCCTTGGTGCCAGAGCTGTGTATTAGTTGCAGCTGGGGAGTGATCAGCAGTTGTCATAATTGTATGCTCTGTTTCTAGGCCACAAGGCACTTAAAGCATTGCTTACGTCATTGGTGGATCTTCAGGAGGAACTGCTTTACCAGTATCCAGACACAAGATACCTCGTAGATGGAACAAAACCTGAAGAAGAAAGGTAAAGAAGGAATGGACCCTGGGGATGGGAGTGAGGGGGTCTGCTCCTCCCTTACTTTCCTGGTAGTATTTTATTATTTGTGAACAAGAAACCCTTATCTTTCCATGTAGAGAGCAACAACTAATGTTTATGGCATAATAAGCAACTGCCTGTATAGAAGACAGGATGGCTCATGGACTTGTGGGATTAGTCAGTGCTTGCTCTGTACAGAGCCCTGAATTAGACATGGGGAAAGTAGAAAGCTTCTGGACTGATCCCTACCCTCATAGAGTTAGTAATCTACAAGTTAGGATTGGAGGAGGGCATACCTTTGGGGTGGCAGAACAGAAATAGACATCAATATCTGGGATTATGTAATTTTTTTTTTGATTTTTAATTTTTTTGATTTCCAGATTCTCTCCCCAGCCATTGAGAAGGCAAGCAAAATGACACCCATCATACATGCAAAATGTATTTCTTTAATAACTATGTTCCCTCTCCCTTCTCCCCCTCTTGCCCCCAAAAAAGCAAGAAAACAAAGTAGGAAAATATCATGCTTCAGTCTGCACTCAGTTCATCAGCTTTCTGGAGGTGGATAGTATTTTTCATCATGAGTTCTTTGGAATTGTCATGGATCATCATATTGATCAGAATAGCTAAGTCTTTCACAATCATCCTTACAGTATTGTTGTTACTGTGTACAGTGTTCTACTGGTTTTGCTAACTTCACTTTGTGTCAGTTCATGTGAGTCTTCTGGGAATACTTTTAATAAGCAGTGTACAGAATGAGTTTGGCAGGCATGGGTACTCACTGTGGGAGATCAAAGAAGACTTTTCATGAATGGGGTTGTCTCTGAGGTTAGCTTTAAAGAAAGGGTAGAAATGCAGTAGAATGAATGAATGAAAAAGCATTTGTTAAGCACACGCTGTGTCCCAAGTACTAGGGATGCAAATAAAAAAGCAAGACAGAATCTGTTTCTGAGCTGGGAGTGGAGGGAGGATTTGTTTACAAATTAAGCTTCAAGTAAGAAGTTGGCCAGTAAGGTGGTGATATGAAACATTTTTGGAGTGACTAGAGAGTAGGTCTTGTGAGGTACTCAATCAGAGCAGCTTGGGCCCCAGGATGGGAGTTCCAGAACTGAAAAGGGAAGATGGACTTTGGCAAGGAAGGTATTATAGGAATAGGAAAGAGCAGTCCTCAGGGCTTATAGCAGGAAAGTATGGACATGCTTAAGGGAATTGTTTAATTCCATGGCCCTCAGGCATGTGGAGAAGCCTTTCCTGAGATCAGCCTCATAAGTCTGGATGATGACATCTGATTGCGGAGGACTTTGCCAGGCCAAAGCATATTGGATTTTTAATTTTAGATATTTACTGTTTAAAAGACCAATTAATTTAGCATTGTGAAGCACCCTGTGGTTCATTACTGTAGAATCTCTGAATTACCATCTTCTTCAATATGATAAGGAGGATAATTCTTCTAGAAGATTTTATTTCAACAACTACTGCCTCACTCTCATATGTCCGTCGGGCAGAGAGTTGTTCATTTTCAGCTAGCTTTATGTTACTCTACTCACTTCATGCTTGTCTTTTTTCCTCCTTTCCCCATGTTTATCATAAGGCCACAGGTTTAGCACTGGAGGTACCTCCTAGGGTTTGTCTCATCCAGCTGATGAGGAAGCAAGCAAAAGGAGGTGGGAATGATTTGCCCAGGGTCACTGACATAGTCGATGATTAAGGTGCTCAAAAGAGAAGGAATTGGTCCCCTCTCCTGATAGACTGTGAAAACACTTGGACAAGGCAAAAGCGCGGATACAGTTAGCTATTACAATGTGATTCATGAATGTAATGGAATACTATTATAAGAAATGAGGAAACAGATAATTTCAAAAAGGCATGATATTAACTGACTATATATGAAGAAGAAAAGACTATATGAACTAACAGTGAAATAAGCAGAATCAGAAGAACGGTTTATGCTGTAACATCAATATTATACAAACATAATTTTGAGGACTTTTATAAACTGATAAAGAATGAAATGAGCAGAACCAGGAGAACGATTTATACAGTAACAACACTGTAAAAACAGACAGTTTTGAAAGCTATGAAAACCATGACCAATACAATGAGAAGGACCAGTGGTGAAGTATCAATTAATTACTAACCATTATTAAGTACATGCTATGTACCAGGCACTGCTATATATGACAGAGGGGTGATGGTTATAGTGTGTAGACTGAGCCATAAATTTTTTGTGTGCAACCATTGAGGGAATTTGTTTTATGTGACTGCATATTTGTTACCAGAGGGTTGTGGGTTGTGTTTTTTGTTTTGTTTTGTTTTTTGTGGATCAGGAGGCAGGAGAGAGAAAGTAGATGTTTTGTTCATTTTTTAAAAAGTTGGAGGGTTCTACAGATGTGGGATGTTGCATGAACTTTCAGATGAGTCATTATGTTTTACTTTTACGTAATAATTTTGCTTTGATACAAGAGTCCTCTCATGAAGTGAGAGTAACCTGTTAATGTTTGAAATGTAAAAACAAAACACACCAATAAAACTTTTTTAAAAGTTGAAGTTTGAGTTGTGCAAATGCCCCTTTTGAAAATCAAACTATACGCAGCAGTTGTACGTCTGTTGTGCTACATATTTGCCCTGATACTTCTGTCTGTCTTTTTGTCATATTTCTTGGGGCTAAGGTATTGGGTGAGCCTGATGCTTCCATTTTTCATGAGTCATTATTAGTCCACATTTCCATTTTGGCTTTTGATTAAAAGTTATATTTGGGAGTTTGCTTTTGAAATCCATTTTTTGATGTTCATCAGTAATAATCTAGCTGACTCTAATGTTATTAAAAGCCTTTATCATGTATTTACTTCTGTTTCTGGTTTGTTGTACAGTCATTTTAGTCATGTCTTACTCTTCATGATCCCATTTGTGGTTTTCTTGGCAAAGATACTAGAATGGTTTGCTATTTCCTTCTCCAGCTCATTTTGCAGATGAGGAACTAAGGCAGATAGGGTTAAATGACTTGCTGAGGGTTACACAGCTGTGAAGTGTCTGAGGCCAGATTTGAACGCAGAGAGATGAGTCTTCCTGACTCCAGGCCCAGCTCTCTATCTACTGCACTACACCTCTGGTTAATTTTCTGAAATTCACCCATGTTAGGCCACAAAGACAGATTGCTCAGTTTTCTTTTTATATTTATGAGAATGACCTTTTAGAAATAACCAAACCAAACTGCCTTTTTTTTTTTTGGTCTAGGCAATGGGGTTAAGTGACTTGCCCAGGGTCACACAGCTAGTAAGTGTTGTATGTCTGAGGCTGAATTTGAACTCAGGTCCTCCTGAATCCAGGGCCGGTGCTCTATCCACTGTGCCACCTAGCTGCCCCTATTTACTCTTCTTTTTACCAGTGACTCTCACCAGGGTATATTTTAGTTGTGGAATCTCTGAAACAAAAGATATGGGCATTTTGGTTACTTTATTTCCAAAATTACTTTCAAAAATGATTGCACTAATTTACAGCTTTACCAACGATAGATTTATGTGTCAGTATTTCCAAAACTCCTCCAACACTGCCTATTCCCATCTTTTGTCATCTTTGCTGATTTTCTGGATTTCCCTTATTATTAGTGATTTGGACCATTCTTTTATGTGTTTGTTAAATGGCTTAACTTCTCTTAATGAAGTCTAGCCTGACATTAGGTTTTTTGGCTATCACAGTGCTACTGGCTTAAAATTGAGCTTGTGGTCCACTAAACATCCCAAGTTGTAGTTTGCTTGGTTTACTCTGTGGATATCCTATAAGTATGAGATGGTCTCAGCCTCATATTCTTTTCCCATCACAGTTATTTCTTAACCCCCCATCTACCAGAGAGCCTTCACTTGTTCTCTGCTACTTGTGCTCCATGTAAGAAGTAGGCTGAGTTGGCAGGGTATCAGGCTCTGGATCTTACCTCTCTGGGGTTCTCCCCTGATTCCTCACATATATAAGCCCTTTCTTTTCACTAGATGATTTCTCTCAACAATGGGCCAATCTCCTTGTTTTTCCTAGTGAGGAAGAGATCCCCAGTGAGGAGGAAGAGGCCATGGTGAGGGAGTATCAGCAGAGGAGAGGCCCTCCCAAGAGAAAGCTGGGGATGGATGACTATCCGGGCTTTATGGCAAAGCGCTTTGCTGATTTCACAGCCTACAGGAACCGTACACTTCAGAAATGGCATGACAAAACTAGATTGGCTTCTGGCAAGCTGGGGAAGGCAAGTATGTGTGTTGGGGAGGGTTGGTGCAGCATGTCTGTGCGTGTACCTGGGCACACAGCCCCTCAGGGTAGGGCAGGAATGGTTTTAGGAAACTGACGTTTTGGCTGTCTTGGATGGGAAAAAAAATCACATTATGATAGTAAACAAGAATTCTACGTGCCTTCCTTGCAGATGCAGGACATTGGGTTAGTTTCATGGTCCTTAGATCTCCTCCCTCCCCTTCAAGCCTTGTCACTTCATTTGCCCAGAGCTATAACCACCACAGGCACCAGACTTTTTTTCATTAGAAATAGTACATCTCTAGAAATCAAATTTGGTGAAAATGAAAAATACTATAGGAATGGTTGGTTCTTTATTATTAGAGGAACAAAAAGTTGTTTGCCTAAGAAAGGGTGTTGACCAGGCCATTAAAGAGCTTTGGGTCCTTCTGAGGTTGATTTTTAAAGAACCAGCTACCCCCAGATGTAGTTCTAAACAATAAGCACAGCTGCTTTTCCCTTTGCTGACATGAAAAGATAGAGAAGCCAGTACTGCTGCGTTTAACCCTTGGACTTCTGCATTGTTTGACGCTGGCTAATGTTTCCTTGCAGGGTTTTGGTGCCTTTGAGCACTCAGTCTTGACTCAGATTGACCATATTCTGATGGACAAAGAGAGATTGCTCCGAAGAACACAGACGAAGCGCTCCGTGTACCGTGTGCTTGGCAGAGCTGAGCCAGTAGCTGAGCTCGTTCCTGAGAATTTGCCAGGGCAGCTGGTAAGGGCTCTGTGATGGCGGCAGCTTATGGAGAGCAATATCTGTGTGGTTAATTAACTGAAAAGCCGAGCAGTTCTTGGGAATATCACTGTCCACAGAAAGTCAGCTTGTAAGAGAAGTATAGAGTGGAAAAACCAACTGAATGGATAATTGAGAAAGAGAAGAATACAGAGGATAGAAAAATTTGGCTTTTTTTAACATGGGTCATCTGAAATATGGGAACATTAAACCTCATGTGCTTTTAGTTTTGAGTTTTGTTTGAGGCCAGGAGATATGAAGCAATAGAAATCCAGGTTTTTGGTTGATCCTATAACATCACTTCTATAGAAATTTCTAATTTGGGACAGGTCAAGACTGTTGTCTGTGTCTCAAAGGCTTTTCCTGAACTTGTTTCCCAATCCACACTCTCTTGTGAACCAGGAAAATATTTAAATTCTATACCTTGGACTGTGCTACCACCATTCAGAGTATAGATGGGGCTCGCAGTGACTTGGGTGGTAAAGATGGAAGCAAGGGGGAAATAGACAAAGAAAGGGAAAGGAGCAGAAGGAAGTTGCAGAGAAGAGGATAGTGACTTAGTTTTTTAAGTTTAGAGATTTTAGAAAGTAAAGAGTATTGGCAGTGTGTTTTGTGAGCCACTGAGTATTTGCCTTGGACCATTGCCAGTGAAAAGCGAGTGTTCGGGAAGCTCTCTTAGTGAAAAGAGGCTGAAGTTGGGATCATTAAATATTTTTATCACATCCATTGAGCAAATCAAATAAGTAGATGTCTGCCCCCTTGTGAATTTACATTTTAAAAGAGAGAAAGTGTGAGAGAGAAAAAGAGAAAATTTGGGGCTGTAGATTGTCTTAATATAATGCTTTCATTGTATTCAGGAGTGATTCCATGTTCACAAAGTCCCCAGTTTACTTTGTTAAATTCATTATAGCATGTCTCTCCCTCTGGTACATTAAAAAATTTTTTATTGATTTATTTTGTTTTTATATCATTTAAGTTTCTCCTGTTTTTTTACATATTTTAAATTTCTTATCCCTGCCCCTATCCCAGAGAGCCATCCCGTATAGAATTTTTAATAGAAAAAAAAGAAAACAAAAAACAACCAGTACATTTTTTTAAAAAAACCCAAAATACATGCAATATTATTCCACATCCATAAACCTCCTACCTCTGCAAAGAGAGTAGGGGTAGAGGAGGGAGGTATCTTTTCATATTTTTCCCTTGGAGCTGTGTTTGTTTGTCATCATTTTGCAACATTCACTTTTGACTTTTTTTATATGTATGGTTGTTCTTTCCATTTACATGGTTATAGGCATTGTTGATATTATTTTCTTGACTCTGCTTACTTCACCTTGCATCATTTCATAGAAGTCTTTCCATGCTTCTTTGTAGTCATATTTATTTTTTTTACGTCATAGTAATATTCTTTTGCGTTCATGTACCACAATTTCCCCCACTTCTTTTTCAGAGAGTATCGTTGATTCTTTAAATATATATTTATATATGTCACTTCTCAATAACTACATCCCTCCTGCCTAATAGAACCCACCCTTATAACAAAAATAGTTAAGCAAAATATACACATTAGCCATGTCTGACGTCTTATGCCACATTCTGTATCCATAGTCAGTTGCTTCTCTGTCAAGGATCAAATGAAAAAATTTATGTAAAATGCTTTGCAAAATTAAAGGAGCCAGTTATGATAATGGTGATAGAAATATGTTTTGTCATCAGTCCTCTAGAGTTAAGATTGTATTAATCTGAATTCTGATGACTTTTAAAAGTGTTCCTGTACATTATTGTGGTCAGCATCAGTTCACACAAGTCTTACGAAGTTACTCTGCATTCCTTGTCTTTACCACTTAGATGGATTTGTAATCTCGTCAGCGTAGGTATTCCCTCTGTCCATACCTGCCTCTCTTTTACTCATATGTCCATAAGTTTGGCGTGGAAGTCTACTCGATATTCTAGGAACCTTCCTTGATTTCTCTTAACATTGTGAGAGAACTACTGGGCTGTTATCAGTTTTCCCTCACTTTCACCACAGGACCGAACTATCTTCTTTTTTGTTAATATTTTGATGACATCTTTTCCTGAAGTTCTTAATTCCTTGTTTGGTATGTGTTGCTTTCTGCTTGCAAACACCACTCATCTATCCTTTGACTTGTGGACGATAATATTTTTTGGAAACTATCATGCTTCATGACTCAGAGCCATATAGCAACACAGGAAGAATATCAGTATTAAAAAGGTGGGTCTTTGTTTCAAGGAGAAGTCTCTGGAAATCATTAAAAGAACTTTGCATTTTCCAAAAGGCAATACATCGCAATCTGCTGTTCATTTCTGGGTCCAATTCAATTTATTGTCTCTTTGTTCAAGATCAATATGTACTGATAGATGAACTTTAGAGATTATTTACCTAAATGCATATCTGGACACTAGGCATTTTTCATCCACTTGGTTTTTCCTGTGTGTTTGGTTATATCAAACTCTTTTCAGTGGTTATAGATCTTGTCTTGGAGGCTCTGCACTGTTCCTGGATCTGATACAAAGTCATTTCTTATAGTATTTGATTTCATTCACATTATTTTTCATCTCATTTTATTTTATTTGTTGTTTAACAAGCACTTATTTTCTCTTCTCACTCTTCCCAATTTAAAAGATAAAAAGAAAACAAAACCTTTGCAAACAAATATTCATAATCAAATAAAACAAATTCCCAAATTGTCCATGTCCCAAAATATTATCACAGTCATATTAACACAGATACACAGACATAGGTGGGGTTTGTGATCTTGATTGTTGAAGGAAATGCATTGATGTGATCTCAGATCTGTATTAATATGCCATAATTTGTACAGTCATTCCCCTATCAATGAGTGCCCACTTTTTTTTCCCTAATTTTTTGGGTGGTTGTTAAAAATCTTTCTATGAATATTGAGCCTTTCAGTCTTTGACCTTCTTGGGCTACATGACCAATAGTGAGTATTGCTCAAAGGATATTTTAGCCAGTCTTGAAGAATTTCAAATTGTTTTTCAGAGTAGTCGGACCAGTTCACAACTCCATGTATAGTGTCTGTTATCCCACAGCCATTCCAACATTGACTGTTTGCCAATTTGATGGGTACGTGATGACTCCTCAGAATTGTAAAAATCTTCTAATCAGATATCTTTGCTAAAATAAAATAAAATAAAAAAGACTTTTAGTCTGTCATTTAAGCTAAATGTAGAATGAACAAGCCCAAGAGCCATTCCCCAGTTGGTCAAAGGACTTTTAACAATTTTCAAAAAGAAGAAATTCAACCTATCAACAATCATAATGTGGGGGCTATATACCACTATTAATAAGAGAAATGCAGATTTAAAAATCTACACACACTCTTCCCCCTTCTGTTTGCTGATGCAGGAAATATTGCCTGAAGTCCCAGCCAATGCTCACCTGAAAGACTTGGATGAAGAGATCTTCGATGATGATGATTTTTATCACCAGGTATGTTTTTTAGACTCTTTCATTTCAGCATATGTTTTGGAGTTTTGAGAAAAGTACCAGTTTGTGTTTTGGACTGGCAGCCAGACCTTTGGGTTCAGGATTTTCATCCTGTGTGTGCTGACTTAGTTTCCCCTTTATGATAGGAAAACCAGTATGCCTGTCTCATTAGGATTTGTTTACTGTACAGCAAATTATACACATGGAACACTTTCAGCTCTGTGATGGAGGGAGAAGAAGATTGTTTTTTCCCAGCTACTTTGTGGTATTTTTTAGTTATTTGGTTTTGTGTTGTAGCACTGTTGTTAGAATGTAGAACATGGCCTGGCATTTTAACACTCCACTCTGAATATAATCCCAGCTCTGTTATAATATATTTAGATTCTCGTCTTAGATGCTTTTTCTTGTCTATTCTGATCAATTCAATGAGTCTTTATTGAATGTCTTCTATGTACCCACCATCATTGATTAGATTAGAAATGAAAACATCTAACTTCTAAAATTATCCTAGTAAAATGTGTGAAGGTGGAGAGTCTCTAGGTGTGTAAATGCCCTCATTTGCAGCCACATCTCACACCGTTTTCCTCTTGAACCCTGATTTCTGAAATTTGTATTCAATTCTGTGGTGTTATTGATGACTGTTGTATCAAGAGGTTTTTAATGTTCAAGCTGCTCTGCAGAAGTAAAGTTTATTTTCTATAATATTGGCTTTCTTTATGTGCCACGTTTCTTATTGAATGGGCTTTAGCATCTTCCCTGTTGTCTTCAGGTTGTACCTTTCGTAGTTCAAAGGATGATGAGTGCTATTCAGAATTGAGAAAGCTGATTTTTATCAAGGTTTTTTGCCCTTGTAGAATTCTGAGGTGGCTGAGGAGGTTTAGCCAAAAAAGCTTAAAACTGCTTGTTGCAGGTGTGACCAATGGCTACACTTATTAAAATACAGAGATTCCAAAAAGCATTTTCCCTAGAAAGTAAGTGAATATTGTAGAACCCAAAGAATAAACCAGTTCTATCAAGGGATTCTTCTGCCTTTGCCCTGCAGGGGGGAAAAATGAGAGTCCCCTGTTACTGTCTCATTCCATTTACGCCATAGCATTCTTTTATAAAATTGTAACTGTACGTGAATCTTAAGAGCAGTGGTGAGGGGGCTGGCTAAGAGGGATTGGTAAGTCCTCAGGTGTTCTCACTCGGAGTTGCTGATTCTTTTTTTCTTTTCCCTTTTTTTTTCTTCCCTGTATTCTCTTGTCAGCTGAATAGGGAACTCTCTTCTGTTCTGGAGTGTCTACAGAATAGCATGATCTGGGATATTAATGCTGGATAATTGTGTGAGATCACGAGAGACAATCAGAAATGTTCCAATCCCCATTAATTCAAGTGTGTATTGTTAGATAGAAAGTGCATCATAAATTAAACGGCTTAATAAAACAAACTGAAATTACTAGGGAGAAGACGCTTCCACAGGCAATCCTTAGGCTCTAACAATTTTTTTTTTTGGCCTGAAGAGACATTTAAAGAGAAATAGCATTAGTTGATTGTCCCTTCATCTTGACTAATAATTTTAAATTCGATAAATTCTGATTTCAGAGTTATGACGAGTCACATCTTAGCTTTTCCCCTTGCTGGTTAATTGGGGTGCTGGGGTTAATCTAAATTAAAACTTAAACTAATAGAGGTCAGTGAGGCAGCCGAAACACCTGAGTAAAACAAATGGGGCTGCCAGGCGCAACTTTATCTTGGCTGTTTCCCAAGAGGGAAGTGGCAGCAAATTGGAGTTGTTTCAGCCTTCTGTAAAGGTGAATGATGGGTGACACTTGTTAATGTACAGCATCTCCGGAAGCACTCCAGATTGCTTTGCTTCTCTACCAACTGCTGCCATCCGTGCACAGTCAGTAGGAACAGGACCAGTTGCCAACATCTGGCAGCACAGCAAGGAATGGGTGCAAGTCTTGAAACCCCGCAGACTCTAAATATGGTGCTTAGAACTGTGCAGGCTTTAATCACTTACCACTATTTGGCAGCAGGCTACGACAGCTTATCCTAGCCTCGTACATCACATGCCGACATCTGCTGAGCCGCAAGGCAGCTGCACATTCATTTTCCTTTCTTGCTTTTTTCTATTTGCCTCCTACTCCTCTCCTTTCCCCTTTCGCCCCCTCCCTTCAGCTTTGCTCCCCCTTCCCAAAATGCTTCTTGGGAGAGATGATCTGTAAAGATTACTGCTTCATTGTGTGCAAGTAATTGTGGGGATGCCAGGCTCTTGACAGACACAACGTAGCACCTGTTCTGCTGACCTGGTTAATTTTTTCTGTTGAGTGGGATTTGCCAGAGATTGGAGCTGAAGCCAATTCAATGATAAGGCTAAAGAAAATGGCTGTATGTTTTCTGTCACCTCCCAATTAAACTGGTTTCATAAAGTGCTTTCCTTTATTTGTCAGATTAGTAAGCCAGAGCGAAGTATTGCATTCAGAAGTGGTACAGTGTGTTACAATTGGCTTGTGAGGTTTCATTTTTGTTTTTTGTATGGTCACAATGAAGAGCTTGTGTAATACGCCTTACAAATTTACTTCTTTTATGACCAAACTTAAAGCCCAGACTTTTTGGATCCTTGTGTTTTTCAAGAAAGAGATAATAATTGTATTGAATTTTAATGTTCACTGTAAGGTTTCAGAGGCATACTTTGTTAATTCTGGTGTCATGAAATTGTGCAAATGTCCTAACAGCTCCACTGCCTGCTGAGGGACTTTAGTTACTGTGGTTTTAAACAACATCTTTTTTGTAAATCCCTGAAAAGTATTTCTTAAATTTGCCTTTAAGATATAAAGAGACTTCATGGTAACATAACGATACTCAGCTTTTAAACTAAGCTGAGTTTAATTTATGTAGAACCTATATAAGTTTTTACTTTAGATGAATAGCAGCTTACTAAGCTGATGTTAATGGATATTTTTAATTAAAAATTAGTTCCGTAGTTTTGTGTTGGCTAGTAGTTTGATATATACTTGATAATGGAGATTCGATAGAGGAAAATGAAATGTTCACTTACTGAAAGGGTCCTGTTGATCATACGCACTCCAAGAGGAATTATCTTACTTGGGGTTAGCCTGTTCCCTGAGAGCACTTAGACCTACCTACAAACAATCAAGAATTTTTGTGAACTTTGATAGGGAAGGAGGGAATATTCTGTTAATCCCTGTATACTCTCTCACAATTTTGTAACTGAACTTTCTTTAAATATAAATTGCTTTCTATCCATAAGACCTACATCACCATCTGTTTTCCTCTTATTATTTATTAGAGAATTTTCTGATTAAGACTTGCTTTTTTGCAAGTGATTTGCCAGAGCTTAGGACATTAAAGCTATACAAAGTATCTTCTTTTACTTCCATTCTTTTTCAGGAGTCTGTAAGAAAACTTAAGTTAGTTTGTTTACAGCTCATAGGAACCAGTTGAACTGAGGTGTATACAAATCAATGTTTGCATTTCTGAGGGCTCGTTAAGCTTTTGCATGTTGCTCCTGGCTCCGTTTAGTTTTTTTTACTGGCTATTCCCATCATTTTGTATTGAATGGGCAGTGTAGAGAAAAGCGTAATAGGTTTTGCTCTTCTGGTGCCCAGCTTGATGGGTTAAATTTCTCCTCTGATTTGCTGTCAGGACATGTCTATGATTGTCCTTGGTCACACGCTGGGTTTTTGTCTCCCAGGCATTTGATAATGCCATAAACAAGTAATTACTAATCCAGTGAACTATTAAGAGTCGATAATGTTGAGAAATAGAGAAGAGGCAAGCTTTCTGACAAGATGGTTTACTTTAATTAAATTGGTGAGTGATTAATATGGACAGTTGATTGGGTTGCTTTAATTGAATGCATTTAGATTTTTGTGTGAATAAGAGATGTTTTCAAGCCATTCCTAAGATTAATGGCAATATCGTTCTTATTGTTGTCATGTATCTTTCCTATGGTAAGTTGATAGTTAACAACATTATGAAGTTTGATTTGAATCCTCCTCTCCTTAATGAGGTGTTGGAAGAAGAGCAAATTTTTGTTGTTGAGAATATTTCATTTTTTTAAGGTTGTTTTCAAGTAATTCTGTCAATTGCTGGATCTAAGTAGTGTCTCTCAAAAGTTTATTGAAACCTATTATAAAAATAAAGACCTTTATAGTTATTTTTTAAAGTTGCCATATATAGCATATATACTTGAATGACTGAGATTGAGATTGAAAAGATAGCTAGGACCTGGACTAATAAGTTTTTGTTTTGATAGAATGGCCATATTAAAAAAAAAATCCTAAATAACCAAGCCAACCAACAATCACCCCCCCTTTCTCTGTCCCTCCCCCCGTACGTGTGTGTGTTGTGTGTGTGTGTGTGTGAGAGAGAGAGAGAGAGACCATAAGATTTTAGTAATAATAGTCATTTTACCAAAAAATTCTGCTTGAGATGTGTGTGGTTTTATTTTTAGTGCAATGTCTCCTTAAAAAATCTGTACAGAAAATTCTGCCATTTGTAGGTCTGTCAACTTTCAGATCCAGATGGTGCATCAGTATTGGCATTTGATCGATAGCCTGTGCTTACTGTAATGCAGTCTGCACAGGATGGAAGGCCCAAAGTCACACTTTAAATGCAAGGCCCGGAAACTTCATCAAATAGCAGCTGAGAGGGAAGGTACACATGAGTGGTCCCTCATTTCTTCCGGTGTTCTTGCTTTGAGAAGCATCAGAGCATGACTTCACTTAACTTTAAAAAAAAAAGGTCTAAAACAAAGGCAAAACTAAAACATAGGACACTTCATGGGATAAGCCAGCAAAGAGTTGACTGGAAGCTGTTGAGGAAACTTTTTCAAACAAATAGTATACAAGGAGTTTGCTAAGCAAATATGTGGCCAAAACAGCCTTGTTACTACTTAATAAGTTGTCAGCTGGTTACGTGTAAATTAAACAAGAATTTGATGCTCCTCAGGAATCATGGAACTCTACTAATTAACCATTAAATTAAGCATAGTG